ACCAACAGCTTAATGACGGAGCAAACGTGTACAGCACTACCAGGTTCATGATGTTGGTTGCTCTAGGTGTGCAGTTGGTGAGCATTGGTCAAGAACTGGTTGGTGTATATGGTGTAACAAAGTCAAACGAAACAGAACAGCACGGTCAATTCTAAATAGGATTATGCTCCTATGCTTACACGGGTGTGTGAATGAGTATTGTGATACTGGGGGAAATGCTGGAACATCACAGAAACTGATTACGAAAAAGCAGATGAATTGTTTGTGTGCATGTATGAGTGTTGTACATACGTGGGATTAGGGATCACAGTACGTAGATTCACTGAAGTGCCAAGTACACCACTGATAAATAAATAAAACGTTTGTTATGAAGTGAAATTTCATTTAGTTAAAATGGAATATTCTATAAAAGTGGATGATTAAAAGCATTGAAGGAACGGGATTTTAAGTGGTAGGAGTGGTCAGTTCAGGGAGCTTCTGAAATCGCGCTGACAGATGAAAGCTCAGATGGGTCAATCAATTCGTTGACCAAGTTGGACAGGCGGTCTGGTAATAAACCGCGTTGATACAGGCCTTCGGTGAGTAGACGATAGAAGGCCAGTTGCTCGTGAATTGGGAGGACATATATACGAGAGAGTAAAGAGGCTGGACTGTAGATGCTGCAGAGTAGAAAATAGAGATGGTATATCAATGGACAAAGGTCGACAAGCCACAAAACAAAAGCACACCGGTTAGGTGTTGGTTGTTGAATGATCAAGTGTTAGTAACACGCACACGTAGCCTACACTGCGAAGACAGGTATCACTCAAGTAAATCTGGTGATACAAAGATAAAATCGGTGGTGTCCAGATGAAAAAATGACAGTTGTGGTTCACAAAAACACCGAGACTTGCAAGCTGCAGCTACGGCATTCTCTTTTGAACAGTTCATTTAGTGTCCTAATGAAATGAAGATCCCAATCATGTAAATGAGGCGTAGAAGCGGTGAACGTGATTACCTCGCATCTCGGAGGACCAGAGTTCACAACTGGATTCGCGCAATGATACGAATTAACGATAAGAACGACAATCAAATCCAGTGTTTCACACCTTGGTGTAGGATTACCGAGGGAGTAACTGTTCAAACGATCGTGATATACAGGACGAAATCTGAACACAGGAAAACTTATCAGACGTTATGAACAAACGGACCCTTTTCACTTAGTCGCCTTAAATAATGAAATGATATCCCCTTACAAAGAGCATCGATTGAGCTCATAAGTGACGACTGCTCAAACAAAAGCTTGTACAGATGAGTGCACCTTCGAACAAGACTGACACAACGGAACCACTCCAAGGGATGCATCTTGAA